CAAATATCATTGATATATAATAAAAATAACTTTGGTCCCAACACTGACCCCTGGGGGAAACCACAAGCCATGCCCAGAACTGCATGTTTCTTTTTGTCTATGGAGTTCTGTTAGTGCTAGTGACGTTGATCTGTTTTTCCTAAATCCATATTGGCTGTCAGTGAGTAGTTTAATTTTATCGATGAATTTCTCTAATCTGTTGTTAAATAATTTTTCTAAAAATTGTTGAAAATTGTGGCAGTAGAGAGACAGGCCTGTAATTTGTGAAGTGGTGTTTATTTCCAGTTTTGTATAGAGGAATGACTTTTGCCATTTTCATTTTTGTTGGAAATTGACCAGTTAGAAATGATAAATTTCAGATGTTCGTTAGTGGTTTGGCAATCCCTTCTATTACTGTTTGTATATTTTTTATATCTATTCCATCGTGATCAGTGGATGGTTTGTTTTTGCATTCTTCAACAATATCTATTATTTCTTTTTCATCGACTGCTGTCAGAAATATTGAACTGGGATTTCTTTCTATAACATTATATCTACTTTCTAATGTTTGTGAAACCGAGATTTGTTCATCTAAGTTTACAATTCAAAAATTGTATTGAAGTCATTAACCGCATCCTCCATGTTATTAATATTTTTATCATTATCAAGGAAGTAAGGGGGATAAGTAACCTGTCATTTGTCCTGTTATTTAAAATGTTCCACATACCTTTAATATTGTTTTTGTTATTATCTAATAGTTGTGTGTAATATTCTTTCTTACAAGTTCTCATAATACTAGTTAACTTATTATTATATTATTTTCGGTCTCTATAGTTCTATGTTTTATAAATTATCTATAAATCTATCTATCTTTTTACAGGCGTTTTGTAATCCCTTGGAAATCCACGGTCTATCATTTTTTTTTGTTTTCTGCTATATATTTTAATTGGGCAATTTTTATCATATAATAATTTCAATATTCTTAGGAATTCTTCACATGCTTTGTCGACATCTTTTTCATTATCAATAAACTCTCAGTCTTGTGCGAATAGATCAACTTTTAATGCCTCCATTGTTTCTTCTGTCCTGACCCTTTTGGGAATCGGTTTGTTAACATGTCTGTTTAGAGTGTAGTTGCTGTCATAAACTGTAAAAATTGGTAGGTGCTCACTGATATTGTTTATTAGTAATCCACTCACTGTATTGTTATGTATGATATTTCTGAATATATTGTCTGTTAGTGTTGCACAATGAGAAGTAATTTGGCTGGTTCTGGTCATTTTGGGATAGAGGCCAAGACTAAACACGGTGTTGATAAAATCATTTTATGGTTATTTGGGTTTAACAAATCAATATTTACGTCCCCACAGATAAACATGACTTTTTGGCTAGTTTTTGTAAATGTCTCTTCCATCCAGTCCTTAAATGTGTCAATATTAGAACCTGGTGACCTGTATATGCAACTTACAATAAGACTTTTTTTTTTCTATTCTTATTTCTATTGTGACACATTCCAATAAATTATCCACCACCATTGACATTTTTTCCACCACCTTATAATTTAAATCCTTGTCCACATAGTGTCACACCACCCCCACTTTTGTTTACTCTGTTAATAGAAGACATTTCATATCATCCTTTTTCACTTTTCATCCAAGTTTCTGTTATTACAATTATGTTTAACAGAGCAGCTACATGTTAGCTGTAAAAGCTGCCTGAGAGGAACTTAATTCTCCCCATTAAGAGTTTTATCCAGCAGCTAACGGACATGTTGAAACCTGTAGAAGGTAAAAACCTCTGTGTGTGTTTCTGCTTCACTTTCTAGTGTCCTGCTAGCACTACCTCTCTGGAGGACTTTACCTTATAGAATAAACACCTTGAGTATTGTAAATCTTACATTATTAATGTTTTAATCACAGTGGTGATTAAAAACAAAGTGGCTGTTAAAAAAGTTGAGTGGATGTTAGATTTTGTAATCCACCAGCCGCAGTGGCATCCCTGACATATAGCCACCAGAACATGTATATCTTCTGATGCCACGGTTTGTTTTTTCCCACAGCACTTAAGTCAAACGAACAGAAAAACTATTCTGCAATGTTTTGGTGTTTAAAGGCACTGCTTCTGGCCTCTCTATGTCGGTGTTTCAGTGAGGGTGGGGCTCAGCAGCGCAGAAAAACAGGCTGTCATATCGAAGACAGATCACTAGTCAGAGATTATCACTTCAACAAACTCATAAGTGCAACCACATCCGTGGATTCAAGACACAAACTCGTAGATTTTGTGGCTGTGTGGACAGAGTCAGATATTACTGTCATGCTTTGTAAACAAGGTGAAGCGTTGTCCACATAAAAGTAGTCTCCGTCAGACCCACTTATACCGTGTGTTCAGCATCATATGGAGGCTGTCAAGTGATAACCTAAGACTATAAAATATAGTGAATTATGGTTAATTATATGTTAATATAAATCCTTAATCAAAATCATAACGAAAAGATGCAGGTAAAAGTGATGCATAGACAGTATAAAGGATGAAATGGTTACATGTGTGTTTTTACAGGGTATAGATTTGTCCCGCGACCCTGAACACTGAATAAAGTGGTTGAAAATGAGTGAGTGAGATTTTTCAATTAGGACACCTGGTTAAAAACAGACAATTGTAGAAGATGAGGAATAATGAAAAGAACACAAAATATAATTGTCTTGAGTTTGTTAATTAAATTAACAAGATAATTAGAATTCAGATGATTTAGGTGTGTGTGTGTGTGTGTGTGTGTGTGTGTGTGCGAGTGCCATGACTTTTTGCTGGAAGGCTACAGTTTACACGGGACACTTTCCGGGTGTTAATCTTCCACATCTACAAAGCAGCAGCACACACTCAGCATCCTCTTCAGCATCGCCTTCCGAGTTTTGACTGTGATGAAGAATGTGGTTCCTCCATCACTGCCATTAGTGCCAGCATTGGTTTTTACATCACAACAAGTGGTAGCTGGTGGCGAGGCATCTGAGCTGGCGGTGGGCGCGCCATGGTGTAAAACTTCACTGGAGGTTACAAAGCAGCTGATTTCAACTGGTGAGTCCTGGGATGGGCACACTTTCATGTTCACACAGGATGATGCCACATAAGGGTCTGGGTCAGTGTCTCTGGGAAAGTGTCTCATTGTGATGAAGCGGTGTCCTAGAGCTTCAGTGGGGGAGATTCTTGTGACAGAATCCACACTCAGCGTCCGTTTGAGGAAGCTTAAAAATGCCCGCGTGTCCTCATACTCAGTGTCTGCCTTCGGCTTCGGGTGGTCCTTCGTCATATCTTCCATACAGGTGTACTTGTTGGAAATGGCCCTGCTTTGTTGGGTCTCCTGGCCTGTTTCAAGCTTGTATTCAGCTGGTGTATTCAGCCTCCATACCTGTTTTGTGGAGTCCTGGTTCTTGCTGAAAAATTTCTTAGAATGGACCCCAGCATCCAGCAGGTGATCACCAGGCTGACCCTGCATCTGCACAATGATTCTAACCACTTCATATTCACACCTGATAGGATACAGGTGCTGGCCAAGGTACATAAAGGCCATTACACAACCAAGAGACCACATATCTATGGCCTCGTCCACTGGGAGGCCCAGGATGACCTCTGGGGCCCTGTAACCAAGGGCCTGAATGATAGAGCCATGCTTTACAATAGAAACCGGAGAGGCCATACCAAAATCAATCAGTTTCACCCTGAAGGGCTGCAGCTGATGATGAACTAGCATTACATTGTCTGGCTTGATGTCTGCATGCACCAGGCCTATGTTCTTGAGGGCATTCAGAGCCACCAGCATCTGTTGTGAGATGACTCTGATCTCAGACAAACGCAGGGGCCTATTGCGCCTTTCTATCATCAAGTCATGGAGACTTTTGTCCAGCATTTCCAAAACCAGACACATCTGGCCTCTATGCTCAAAGGATTCGAAAAACCTCACCAAGTTACTCTTGTTCAGGTCAAGAACTCTGAGTTTTTTTAAAGCAAATGCCTCTCTTTCACCAGCCCAGGTAAAATGTTTCTTTACAATCTTGACTGCCACATTCTCCATGGTGTCTAATTTTATACAGTGGGCCACTTTCCCAAAGGTGCCCTGTCCCTTCAGATTCTGTACCAGGTAGATATCAGACAGAATGTGGTTCTCATATGCGGGGATATCCTCGTTCTCTGTGTATGATTCTAATGACAACATTTTAAAAGTCAAAATATTTCCTATTGGACCAAGTGTGTGATCACCCACCCCCTCATGTTGTGATTACCTGTGAGTAACCTGTCTTATTACGTCACGACAGGTGATGTGACAGAACGGCACGTCACATTTAGTTAGAACGTTCCAATTGCTGCGTGTGATTCTTTTCGTTTCCTTCTCACTAACAAATGAAAAAATCAAAGCAGTTTTTAAACAACAAAAAGGTCGGACTTGTAGTTTAGGTCACGCGTCATTTATAATACGCTTAGATAGTCTACATCGTCATTTCTGTTAAGCCCAAAATTGCTACTGCGAAGGCTTCTCGCACCACGTAGTCACTCCACAGCTTGAATGTGAAATGAATGATTAATGTCTTCGTATACAGCTTTTCAAAACGGGTTTATACAGAAGAACCATTAACAACTCTGCATTTCCACGTTTTTTTTAAAGCGGGGAAAGCGCTTCAACAACCAGGCTTGCAACTTGGTTACCGTGCGTAAAAACGCAGGATGTTTTCACGTTTCGTTTTTACGCACGGGTCGCATCAGTACCCGAGGCTGCAGTTTCAGGACCCCCGCAGTCCTGTGGCCACAATTCTAGGACCGTAGTTCTTTAAGGGAAATGTTTTAGGTAGAGGACTTTACAAAATAGACATCTTATCTTATACTGTGCATGTCCTGTCCTGGCAACCTTACTCTCTTATTTACCCAGTCTCGCTTTCTACCTTGTTTTAACAAACCTCTTACTATGCGTGACAGCACAGAAACCTGCCAATTAATGTTGTCAGTCTCTCTTAAGTAACTTAATATGCACCACACTTCATTTAGTAAAAACGCTTGTTTATTGTGATGCCATTTACACAAAGCATAAATAGGTCAGTTTCACAGGTGGCGAATTTTTTGGGGGGGGCATTAATAATCATCAACATTGACATCATTGTTATTGTGCACAGAACAAAAAGTCAACATCACAACACACACACAGTCAAACACAAACAAAATATGTCTTGGATTCAACACACACACACACTGTACACACTCACACAAACAACAACATTGCATTATCATTTCATTAAAAAAAAAACACTGTACATAATTAAAAGGAGTTGCAGGCACAGTGTAATGAGGAAATTCATGTCAAACAGAGTGGGTCATGCAGGAAACTGAAAAAAGGCACTCATTGCTCTTTAGCAACCCTATCTTAATACTGAAGTGGACGGATTCTGTTTTCAGCTTTGTAGTGCAATCAAAGATTCTTTTACATCTTTGAAATGTGTATTGTTTTTTTTACACACATGGAATATTGTTCGTTAGAAAAGAATGAAATGTTTTATCTTATCAAGGGTACATCTGTAATATATGTAAATTACGTTATGGAAGACCTGTGTGTAACGTTAAGGCTGCCACAAGATGAAAATTTCAATATTTGGGAATGTGTTGAAACACTATGTGTAGACAGACCCTCAGGGGGCCCCAAAAGACCCCGGTTCACTGTGTGTCACTTGGTTTTTGGTGTTTTGATGAATTTATTTGGAAAGTGCACAACTAAAATACACTGTCAACAAAATATCCCGCATTATTATTTGATCTTGTGGCGCAACATTAAAATGTAGTTTATCTTGTGCTGCCATGGTGCTCTTTCGTAAATAGCAGTAAAGCCCTGTTTAATAAAACAGAATTTAGGTTTCTTTCAGTTTTATATCACTTCATTGAATGTGAACCACAAAACAGTAACGCTGAACGTTTTTGCTTTCCTAATGCTTAACAGAGTAAAGTGGAAACTATCACGGCTAGTGGCTCTGTGGTGTTTAAATTAATGAATAATTGATCCAAATGCTCAGTGAGAAGCCCACAACATGGATGCTGCAGAGTAGCTTCATACGGCAGCCACAGCATCCAGCCAGAGCTAAAGCTGGTGTAGGTCAGTTTAATAGAGATGATCACATCTCTTCCTTGTACCACATACATCCACCACGGTTGAAAAAGATCAGTAACATTAACGTTAAATGAGCCAGCGGAGATCAGATCTCGCTCTCGTAGGTGTGCATGTAGGTCTTGAGCGAGAGGATTTCAGCGTAGCTCCGGGTGGTTCTGCGATACAGGTCCAAGCCCGTCAGGATCTCCACATCTCTTACTCGAGCTGTGTGCATCTTCATCAGGTCCTCCACCCAGCGAGACTCCTCCTCTGAACTCTGCAGGGAAGCAGTGAGGAGCACAGAAGTGTTAGCATGGGTCTGAAATTCCTCCATCACACAAGAAGCCAGAACAGATTTAGCTTTGAAGGAGTAGTTCAACATAGTTTACATTTTCATGAGAGTGAGATGAGAAGATCGATTCCACCCTCACGTCTGTGTGTTAAGTGCGGAGCTGGAGTCAGAACGTAGTTGAACATACCAAGCACACCAATATATATCCATGCCAATACCTCCAAAGCTAATTAACATAGCTGTATCTTGTCTGTTTAATCTGCACACAAACAGAGCTATAAAACCAACTGTTTGTATTTTTGTGTTTTAAGGGTAGTTAAATGCTGGAGCTACTTCTTGGCAAACAACCAAGCACAGTGACTAATTGACTGACATCACAGCGAGGTTGCCAGGTTTGGCACCATTAAATCGGCCCGGTTATTGTGGCCCAGGTGGCCCACCACAATTAGTCGGACACCATCCTTGCTGTCCTCTTAAATATGTGTACCAACTGTAATATTTCCCCCAAACCACTATAAAGCAGAGTAGTAAGTGGATAAGTTATACCAGTGCAAGTGGATCGGGGCACTCATTCGCACTTCTTTACTGACTTACTGGTGATCAGAGGTTGCCATGGAGTACACAACTCATACTTAAGTAAAAGTAATTGTCATAGAAAAATTATTATTACACTGAACAAAATTATAAACGCAACACTTTTGTTTTCGCCCCCATTGCCTCCCATGCTGACTGATCAGCATCTTGATATGTCACACCTGTGAGGTGGATGGATTATCCGACAAAGGAGAAGTGCTCACTAACAGATTTTGACAGATTTGTGAACAATGTTTGAGAGAAACAGGCCTTTTGTGTACATAGAGAAAGATCTTTCACCATTAGGCCACCTAGTTGGCCATGGGACAGTTAGCTGAAGTTGCGACTGCATTAGAGAACTCCAGCTACAGATAACAATGTGAAATAGCTTATGCATTACATTTGTTCATTTAGCTGACGCTTTTACCCAAAGCGACTTACAATTGCTATATATGTCAGAGGTTGCACGCCTCTGGAGCAGGAAGACATCGAACCCAGGTCTCTCACACCAAAGGCATGTATCTTATCTACTGTGCTTTCGCTTGCAATCACCTGTATTTTCAGATTGTTTGTAATCATGTTATGTTCAGGTTGACTTTTCAAGTAGTCAAGAGGCCATACACTGTGTGTTGATCGGGTCTCTATTGGACTGAGCTGAGAGTGTTATTAAAATGTGATGACGCATCGGGAGATGTGCTCTTCCTTACACTGCAGGTCTCGTCGTTGCTGGGTCTGTGTGGCAGGATAAAGGCAGCGCTGCTGAGCGGGCCGCTACACAAGTCTGCAGCCTGTGTGAAGTCTAAGCAGCTGGTCAGGACCACAAAGTAGTGTGTGGGGATGGGTATCGTTCCGCCTACATACCTGCAATTAAGGCCAAACAGAAGAATCAAGGTCAACTTTTTTTATTTGTAACAAATGGACAAACCTTTTCCCTTCCTTTTGTTACTTCTAGTTCTTCTGTAAAGCATTATCTTTATAAACAATGCTCAAAATCTGTAATTAAACTTCATGTGGAAAAGTTATATGGTGATATGTCAATTATTTTCTAATGCTCTGTAGGTGGTTATTCCTCTATGACAAAAACAATAATTGTAATTCACAGGTGTGCTAGCCAGGACTGATAATAAGACATGCAACATTTGACACTAGACTTTATCTTGACAGTTTTAAATGATTTGTCCATCCATCATCAACCACTTATCCTGCGTACAGGGTCACTGCGGGCAATCCCAGCTGACATCGGGCGAAAGGCGGGGTACACCCTGGACAGGTCACCAATCCATCACAGGGCCACACATAGACAAACAACCAGTCACTCTCACCCCTAAGGACATTTTAGGGTCACCAATCAACCTAGGCTTCATGTCTTTGGACGGTGGGAGGAAGGTGGAGCACTTGGAGAGAACCCACGCAGAATGTGCAGACTCCACACAGAAAGGTTTGAACCCGCAACCTCCTTGCTGTGAGGCGACAGCGCTACCCACTGGACCACCATGCTGCCCTTTAAATGATTTTTGTCCTTTTTGTGTGAATAGAAGTGGTAAAATGAATGTTCTTACTGTTTTAGCTTCTCAGCGCTGTCCCTGACACCATCATAGTCGTAGTCAAATATTGGTCCAATGAGCACGTTCACCCCATTTCTCTCAGTGGCATATTTCTTCACCAGCGTTCTCTGGAAGTAACCCCAAATTCCTGCGAGAGAAAGGGGGAAGAGAGTGGGAATACAGAGACAGAGAGGGACGTGACAATGAAACAGTGAAGATGGGTTGGGAGGTGATGAAAGATACAGATAAGCAGTGAACAGATCAGTGAATCTATCACCACTGACTGTCGCATCATACAAGGTTTCACTCCAGTCATCTAGCCCTTGAAGAAAGTTCTACTTTACTGATTGACTCACTCTTGAATGCAGGATACATGGGAACGGTGTTGGTGATGAGGACAGCGTCATACTTTTTGTCTGTGGTTGATAACTCTGTCAATAAGACAAAAAAAAAAGAAACAGGATTACAAACCATTTCTGGAGCACTAATATTCTCAAGACCTGCAAGTAAAATGTTATTAAAGATAGGCATCATGGGAAAATATGAAAATACTGACACTCCCAGCATGAGCACTGATAATAATATGAGACAACAAATCAAAGACTTGTGCTGATTATTTCTTCAGTCAGTTAACACCAGTTTTATTTCTCTCAATGCACTGATTGATCATGTAGTCTCAAAGTGCAACAACACAATGAAGACAAAAGCCCATCATAACAAAAAGTCAAAATTGTGAATGCAAATGAATAAGCTGCAAATTATGTTTATTAGTTTGTTAGAGTGTTTAAGCTGTGGTTGTAAACGTACGTGGTGGGTACAGGAAGGCGTAGGTGATCTGTTTGTCTGCTCTGTAGTTGGTACAGGACTGACTGTAGGCTGGAGGAACTCTGGTATCAGGTCTCACACAGTTGGACAGAGCTTCAGGCAGTGGAGACACTTCTACCTGGAGGACCACACACACACACACACACACACACAGAGGAAATTCAGTTGTTCAGTAGCTGTTTATCTTACCAGACCAGAGCAACTGTATGGTAGGCGAGAAAGACGGTATAGAAGAAGATCAACTCTTTTGCCAGCAGAGGGCGCTTTAAGCACAGAAAGGGCAAAATCAATAAAACACAACTTCATCTGTCAGAAGTCGTTGTTGGGTGAGATTGTTTTAGATATTTCATGCAACGAGTATACACACACAACAAATATATCTGGATTTAAAAAAACAGTAAAGTATTTGTTATTTAATTTATAGTCATGTGACCTAACTTGATATCTGGGAACATTCCCCCCAAAACTGTGTCAACCCAGACATTCATTCTAGTGAATTTATGGGTTTAATTTTGTGGTTGAAATGCAAGAGCATAGGTTCTGTTTCAACACTGGAGGGGACACCTATTAAGTGGGGGGTTTGGTGCTCCTACCCCTGAAAATGATGGGCATTAAACATTATTTTAATATTATTCCCTTCCTGCATTCTGGTGAAAATTGGTGTTCCAATATCTGCCTTTTCTGCATCAGTTTATGGTGGAAATATCTTTTCTGCTCCTGTATCTCATATCTGTTCTCTGACATGTGGAGAAAAATCTCTTATTAATATAATATTAACTATAATACTAACGTCATCATTTATTGAGAATTCTTAATATTTTTACTACCTGCCCTATAACGTGCAGTAGGCTGCGTGATTGCTCTGCTGATACAGTAGGATCCCTTTCAGACCGTCTGACAGAACTGGATGAGACAAGGAGGTGGTAACAGAAACTAACTGAAAACACTTCTGATCATTTAGGGGTCTCACCACAAATACAAACAAATGTTAACTTCAGCACCTCCGGTAAAGTGCAGCTCATAGTCCCAAACAGAACAAGTTTGCACCTCAGTTTTTAACTTTTTTATATTGCAAAACTACCATTTATGTTGCCACCCTGCCATAAACTGGCTGCGATTCACAACACAAGATGCGTCCACTTGATTACTATAAGGGCATACGCTGGTGTCACATCAGCTGGGTGGAGTTGCTTCGCGCCCATCGCTGTTCTGTCCATATGTGCTGCCTATCGATATGTGTCGATAATGTACTACAGTTCTGTGCACGAGCGTTGGTCATGGAGGACGGAGGGAAGGTGAGAAACAACCTGATCTCATGCGTTTGCAGCTTCTAGGATAGGGGCACTTCTTAAAACTCCAAACACATAGTTTAAACACACTCCAAAAACAAGGGACTTTCATTAACCTGAATAATGTTACCTTTAATAGTTTGGTATCTGCCACAAAGACTTGTCGATTACAACTTGAGACCACTTGGCCAAAAGCTGTTAGATGGTTCGGGTATGTCAGTTAAACATATTTGTATTAAATGAAACCAAATAATGCGTGTCGTCACTGTAGTAGTTTATATAACCTCCCAGTCATTTTTTACTTGCAGACTAATTTGTCTTTGGAACAACTTTTTAAAATCTTGCAGCCGTAAAGAAAGAAATACAACGATCAAAAGGTAAAACGAGTTCTTGAGGCTGTCTCTGGCTCATCTGTCTGTTTGGTATTGTTGTTTGAGACTGAAACTTCACAGCGCCATCAGGCATGCCGAGCTCTGAATGAGGTACCTTTGCCGGCTGTTTGATGACAGTTTAAGGTGCACAGTAAATATTCACAACAACGTCCAAATTAGGTCAAAGAGCACAGAATGAACAGTACCTGTCTGCTGACCGTGTATGACGTCCAGAGAGGCATAGAGAGAGCCTCGCTGTAGCCGCTGATGTAATCACTGTGGTGGAGGATGGAGTATTTGGTGCGGAAGAGAACAGCAGGTCGACCGTACGGCAGGTTCCTGCTGTCTGAGAGAGGAAGAGCACAGAGGGACACAGCAGAGGAGATGCAGAAATGTAACAGGACACGTTTACACTGAAGCGGATGTACAGCAACAATCCATGACATTATTGTATGCACAGGCTCATGATGCAGTTTTAATGAGGACATGGTGGATGATTTACTTGTTTTACCTGTGCAACAAGTTAAGTTTACATACTAAATGACCCTTAAACCATAGACATTTTATGTGTACATTCATTATACATAGAGTGAGTTTACTAGATAATGGACAGCTAGATTTAAAATGGCTGCATGACTCCAAATGTTGATTTTATCATTTACAAAAGCACTGTGAGCAAGTGGATTCATGGGGTGTTACAGTAATTTAACTTTAATTATGGCTTTCCCTTATCCCCCAAGGCTGACATACTGTATACAAGACATATTATTTATGACATTTTCAGTAGCATCATGAAAGACTGACCATCAATAGCTTGCCTCAGTCGCTGGTTTAGCTCCTCCACTTTGTTCTGTAAGAGACAGAGCCAGAGTGACTCCAGGTTATAGCCTCGTACAAGGGTCACTTTCAAACCTCTCTGGCCCCTACTTTTTACACGCAACTGCAAAAAGATCGGAGATTGAAACAATCTCTTGCCAGAGATCTACATGGAAATCACAAACACAGCATATATATATAGATAAAGGGACACGCTGCAGAGAAGGGCTGGGTCTAACTCACTTCCAATCCAAGCAATTCGGGAAGTGGATTTCAAAAGTGCTCTGACAATATCTAGATTGAGATGGCTGTGAAATGTGATCGGTAAACCTCGACGGAAAGAGAGATTGCCTTTTTGTTAGCAGAGAGAACTGCAGATTTTGTTGAAATGAATTGACTGACTTGAAGGTGAATTGACTCCAGCTCTGCAGCAGAAAGCAAAGAGGCAACAGGGTTATTTCAGCTTTCAAAAGGGACTGAACAGAAGACACAACAAAGCAATCAGGTATTTAGATACATTTTTACAAGTCAAACAGGCTCCTTCACACACTCCCAGACAGACAGGCACAAGTGATCTCTGCAGATGATTCTTTTTACAGCTCTGCTGCATAAAAAGACAAGTTTAACTGCCCTGCAAAAACAAAACAGAACATTTCAAATAAATGTAACATCTGTATTTGAATCCCCTGAAGACACTGTTGCAAAAGGTTATCTCACAGCTGGCCTTCCCAAACTCAGAGGAGCTACTAGTGAGATACACTCTCACTCGCTACATGGAAGGGAACACCAGCTAATCCCTGTATTTACAGCATTTGAAAACATCAGTTTAAACCACTGAATGCAGAACAAAGGGACGCTGCTAGTAGGGAAATCAGGGATTTCCATTTCAAATTGATTTGTGCATGTCTTCTACCTATTGGCTGGAGATGACTCCTCTTTTTGCGTCATGACTGAGGGGTTTAAAATAAAAGAGTACTAAACGTGAGTAAAGCCACTACATTTTCTAATGAAAAATAAATACAGAAAAAATATCTGTCATTTTGTGGTGAGAGGATCTGCACTGACGCCTCACAAGTGTCATCAAGATACGTTGGGATGGTATCCCTTCACAACTGCATTAGAGATCCAGTCCAGACAATCTCACCTCAAAGTGGAAATAGCTTAATCACTCGTCCCGAGGTACAGCAGGCACAATCCCAGCAAAGTTTGACAAAGCTTGACTACATGAGAAGCATTTGAATTTGTTTCCTTTTTCATTTGACCTGATTTTTCACTTTTCAGCCTACTCCTCAGGGGAGTTCAGGATCAGCTCCAGCAAAAACTCAGCTGTAAACTCTGGCCTTCAGGATCGTTTGTTCCTGAATACCTGGCGTGTACACAATTTCTACTTCTTAGATACTTAAAAAATGATTCAACAAATATAACTAAAGACTCACATGAGCTATAGAGGAAATGAAATGATCCTCATTTACCTCTCTCATCTCATTTCAGTCCAAAGATCGACTCCTTTCTGAGTCAGGCTTTGCACTGAATAGAGAGATGATGTTCTTGTTAAAGTGGGTAGTTTCTTTTAGCTCCCTCATATCTATAATGTGACTCTATCATGGTCCCTGTTAAATAAACAATAAAGTAAAAGACACGCAGAAGTACGATGTTACTGATACTACAAGAACACAGGCAGACTGAGCAGTGCTTCTTTTCAGGAGATGTGAAGTAGTCTCATGGTGAAACACAGTCAAGTGGACGTGAATTGGTTGGCCTCTGGTCAGCAACACAGTCAGGTTAGTCATACTTTGTTGAACTTTGGAAGGGTCCAGTTTGGCCTGGGGAAATCAATTAAGTGCCATATAATTCTTACTTGACTGTGATTACCGAAGAGGGAGCTGTAACATAAGATCAGGACATACAGGAAACTGTTTGAGAACATGCTGACAGGCAGTTTTCCCAACACTTAAGGCAACAGCATTTTATCATTTTATATACGCTGGACGCTAATTAGTGAAAGCTGGGAGCGTTATCATTTTATGCCAGCAACAAAATCTTTCTCACAGAAAAACTGCCTTGTTGCATAGACTCAAAACGTTTTCCGTGCATCATTATCATCATATTCAAGTGATACATTATCATTCCGGGAGATTGGCTTATTCATCGACTTACATCAAAGTGATACGATAGAAACCAAAAGTATCCATGTATCAGCATTAGCCCCCAGCGCTCCACGCCAACAAGTTATACTACATCACTACACTTTTAGTTTTTAATTAGTTTAATCACATTTATTATATATAAATATGATAACATTTTCCTCTGCCATATATATATATAAATAGTTTTTTTAACATTGAACTGCCCTGGTGTGTGAATGTGTCATCTGTTATGTATGACATTTTTCACACCGTCGTCACTAAGAGGACTGACTTTTTACTTCTTGAGTCTGTCCTTCATTATATGTCCTGTAGCTTTATATAGTTAAATCAATGAAATCTTATCAACTTCACAAAGTGAACGTTGTCAAGTGTGCTGTAATATTTACTGAGCACTCATGGCCCAGGAGGGAAAGCACTCTCTGGCAGTTTGAAATAGTGCAGGACTGTGAGCGCCTCAAGAGGACTACATTGCAGTCAGTGACAAGCTACATACCTTGAAAACTCATGTCTGTACTAACGTGTTCATCATCTTAATGTTTTGGTGACCCCCAACTGTTTCTCTAGAATTAACATCAGGAATAAATAGATAGCTTTTCTCCTTATGTTACGGTTCTCCAGTGGGCATCATCTTTTTATTATTCTTACCATGTCATATATTGAGGTTTCAGACTTAACTAGGATGATTCTAGTTTATGTTAAGTCTATCAGTTGTGATAACGTTTTACCCACCAAGGCATTTGCTAAGATCTAGGTTCACAAAGACAAAACGTTGATCTGTGAAGTGTGATGGATTAACATCAAGTCAACAGTAGGGAGGTGGCAGGAAATGAGTGGCCACAGGAATGACATGCAACAAAGGTCCCTGGCAGGACTTGAACCGTGACATTGAGGTTTACGGATGCCACTATAACTCTTAGGCCGTTCTTGTTTTCTCAGGCTTGTTTTAAACCTGTCTGATCTAATTCACTTAATCTACCTGCTATCACCCAACCTCATTTACATGTGTTAGCGTGGAGTGGCCACGGCAAGTGGTGAATCCCAGGATGCTTTTGGTATCACTCTTGTTATCACTAATCTAAGTGAGCTGACAGACAAGCATAAAAACTAGTTTTCCTTTCAGCAGTCTACAGGAGGCTGGGCCCAGGTCTGCCACTGAGTCATCATGGCTGACCTTGTCTTCGCAGCTGCAGCCCAGGTCATCTGCTCCTGCAGGAACAAGACCAGAGATCGCAGGCCTGGAAACCTCCTCTGGCATGGTGGGTCTGTAGGGGGGGCTTCTCAGAAGGTGGTTCAGACTACCATGGGTTCCATTATTGGGAGCTGATTTTAGACCCAGAAGATCTGAGCGTGAGAGAAGTTTCATGTCAGCTAAAAGAATAAGTGGAAATAGTCACACATAAAAGCCCGCTTATGTTGTGACGAATCAACTCATGTATCCAGTACAAACGCATTTTAGCCGGTCCAAGATGACTAGAATCACACACATGCACTTACACCCTGTTACACACCCAAGCACACAAGGAGGACATGAAATATGCCTTACCACACATGACATTATAAAGCTCAATGTTTTCAAAGGCTGGAACTTTAGTCTTGAATTTAAACGAAGGTCCATACCCCAAGAAAATAGTCTGCAAATGAAATGTCAGCATGTCAATTGATTTGTCACAATAAATAACAGTATATCACTATATAGTATGACAATTAAAGCATTATGCTTTAAGAATGGGCATCCTACAGACCCCCAAATATTGTGTATAATATCACTGTATAATCTGTGATTGTACACTTGACAGTACCTGCATGCTGTTGATCTTATTGTCATATCCGTGGTCACCAAAGAAGCCACAGTGCCTCTTCCCTTCAGGAGCTTTCCTATAATGAATAGCATGACTCATAGATAAGTATTTGGTTACTTCTACTTGACCTAAGCATTAAAGTATCTCCACATTGGTAAGAAGTCATAATTCAAAATCAAAAACCTGCATCAGTTGAATATATAGTTCCATTATGTGACTTTTATAGGTATCTTCTGATAATGATTCAACCTAAGTAGATAAATCCTTCATTAAGCGTTTACATTTTTTTACATCGAAATAGGCCTTTTGTGTACATAGAGAAAGTCTTAGATCTTTGAGTTCAGCTCATGATGAATGGGGGCAAAAACATAAGTGTTGCATTTTTAATTTTGTTCAGTGTGGAACTACGGCTCTAACTGGTACCTAAAAATCTGTAGAAATGTTTCTTAAATTTAGGAAGAAAATGTGTCCATGAAATGTGTGTCAGTGCTGGAAATCATGACAAGTAGCGTATGAGGAAAAGAGGAGGAAGAAGGAGAAACAGTACAGAACAATATGTTGTTTTTGACGTGATTTTTGGGTGGATGCCATAAATGACAAATAGCACCTACTAATTATTCCATCAACTTCATGTGTCAAATATCCTGATGCAGTGTGCCAGGAGGTCCACACAGGTTTTAAGGCGTTAAACTGTGGTTTTAAATACAGTTGACCTGTTGTCAGTACTCACTTACTTTAGACCTCAGCCCAGGACAACCACACCTTCACACAACTTAAGCCACAGTCCTCTAATTGAAAAACAGCCACTTTTTATTAAGTGTCCTGTAAAACACTACTTCCAGTTATTCACCTCAGTATGTGAGTGTGTGTGTGTAGGTGTGTGAGTGTATGGTTGTGCATGTCCAGGGGGCTGAAGCCACAAGCATGTCAAAAATGTAGATGACTACCTGATGGGGAAATGATACAAACTCACTGTTTCATTTGGTGTGAACAGTTAGTTGGTTTGGGATTTACATTGACTAATGTGTGTGTACCTGCATGTGTGTTTGACAGTGTGTGTTTGTCAGTGTGTGAGTGTGTGAGAGAGAGAGTGTAAATGCTCTGACACTCTGCTCACATCTCCGGTGCCAGCGATTAGCCCGTCTGTCTATCTGAGCTGCACAGAGCCATCAAAGATCTCTTTCATTTGGCAGCCCTGCATGTGTGTGTGTACTGGTTCACCAACCAAAGCAGCATGACAGCAGGGGGTTACTGACATGAACATGCACACAGACGCACACATGTAGCATCGTTAGCTGAGGTGATTTGTTTTCACGTTCAGTCCTGATGACTTCATGGTTTACTTTGTCACTGAATCACTGCAGTGAGACTTCTCACTGCTCCACACGGGCTCTACATCAAATGGCTGTCAGAGTTCATTTTCAGCAGCTGCACTTTTGAAAAAGATGTGGGTTTTTTTACACGGGTTTGGCTCGGGACAGCACATCTTAAACTTTTTAGCACTACATGTGTTAATGATGCGTTGAGCAGCCCATGTCGATGTGAAATGTGTTGCTAAGTAAAGCAAGATGTTCAGTAAAAAGCTTCGTTGATGTGTGGGCTGAAAATGCCACATCTACACAGACTGTACAGAACATTAGAGCAGAAAATTAAAACTAAGTGAGTTAGATCTTCTTCCCTCTCGTCTGGCTGTCTGGTTTGGATCTAACCCATTTCTCTTGTATTGTTGTTATATTGTTATTTTAAGGACATGTTAGGCTATTTAGAACTGCCTTCTGAGGGGTACAGGGACAGTTTTATGAAAACAATTCAGTTTTCTACCTGTATGTCTACAGGTGTGTCCAAATATACAGCAAAATGTATTCCGTATGATGTGATGCAGGATGGTTTACATGTTCCAGCTATATAAGAAAAATTTCGATGGATGTACTGTTTCTTAGTACTGTCAAAAAAGCATGCATTCCTGTAGTTTTATTCTTATTTCCGTTTGGGACGAATTTGAATCATGCTACATTCACATTCTAGCCGTTCGTGTTTGCACTGTAACCATACATGTAACCTACCATTCAAAAATTATAGAACACCCCCATTTTTCTAGTTTCTATTAAAATATAAGTAGTTCAAGTCCAGTGAAAATCCTGAAATGGTACAAAATTAAGCAGCAAACTGCCAAAGTTAAAAACAATGTTTAGGCCAAAACTGGACAATTTTATAAATTAAGTTTTGTTCATTATTTCATTGTAGGATCAATCAATGACCAACTGGTTTATCTTCTTTTAATAAGAAGATATATATATATATATTATTCAAATAAAGCTTTTGAGGGTGTATTAACAGGCAGTTCCAAGGTGTTTACAGATTGAGACGCCTGTAGAAATTTGTTTTTGTATGAACTTTCAAGGCTTCTTTTACTTCCACTGCTGCAGAATAACTTGAAGTTGTTAACTCATTACTTGATCCCTAAAAATGATATATATGTCTGAAATGATTACTTTTATTTCTCAGTTTTGCTGACCTAAACTTTGTCGTTGCCTTCTTTGGTTATTCTGCTCCACTGGAAGCAAATGTACACATAAGATGTGTAAGTCATATACTGTATATATGTATTTGCTGTTGTAGTGGTGGTACTATACCTGGCAACGTGCCACTTCCTTTCCACCAGCAGGTGAATGTCTTCAATGCGTCGGTTGTTGGCATAGTGCAGTCTCTTAGGCAGGTGCTGCTTCAAGTACGGCTTAAAGTGCTGGTCCGCCTTCTTACACTGGAACAAAGAAACATTGGTATTTTAATTCACACAGTTCATACTTAGGTTATTTAGTTCTATACAAAAGTTCTCCTGTTTTTCATGAAAGCCATACTTACTGTTAGATTTGCAACAACAGCCTTGGGGTCATCTGAAAAAAAGAACAATTGTCAGAGGCATTTAAAACTGTGACGTACAACAAAGTAAAGTGCAACATACTGTTTTGTACATTTTAACAGTTTGCTCTCAGAAAAAAATGAACTTGATGAACTGTTGTAGTAAGAGAACAAGTGAATGTAGACACAGAACAAAATGTCTATAGTACAAGAACAAGATAAAAGAAGGTTAAGTTGTACCACTGCTTTGGTCAGACACGACACACTTGCAACAATTCTTCCAGTGGTAGCCACTGTAGGTACTGTGCATGCTGACCATGATCAGATCAGAGGCTTTTTGTTCTTGCCTACAAATGATTGTGTCATGCTTGATGATGAAGGTCAAACAGAGCCAAAAGCACTGGATATAGCTCTGCAAGTCTGAATGAATAAGAGGACAGAAATCCTAAATAATGCTACAACACCTAGAAACCAAAGAGAAAAAAAAGAAAGGGAGATAGAGAAAAGATCTCAGCAAAGATTCAGCATTATGATCTTTTCTCTTGATCTCTTACTCTCTCTCACATTTAGGGTTGTTGGGGTATCTTGAGCGTATTCTGCCTAGAGACCCAGGGACGAGGATAATGTCATCAACGCTGGTTATGTAGTTACTGAGGAACTCGGTGCGATCACAGTGGGCCTCCTCCATACCTGAGAGCACACAGGAGAGAGTGTGAGGCTGGTGAAACCTATGAAACCATTCAGCAACACCTCTGTATCTGCTGCCAGTGTACCGTTTTAGCAAGTTGCTAACTACTACTAACTTGAATATGTTAAATTTGATACCACAGTGTGTGTTTGTGTCTGTGTGTGTCCGTACCATGGTCTCCCACCAGGATGATGTTGACGCAGCGGTGCAGTTTCATCTGTTTAAGTCCATCCATCAGTTGGCCAACAATTCTGTCAATCATCTTCAGAGGGTTGTTCAACTGGAACACACAAACGGAGTCAAAATCTACTGAGTGTTGTTTTGATGGTACACAATACACCCAGAGAGAAGCTATATGAGAGTGTATGTACATCTTTGTGTCTGATTTGTTGGCTTTTCATGCATACCCACACATCCCTGATGCAGAAACACAGTACTCACTTCTATGCTCATGGGCCCCATTTTATGTCCATACGTGTCGGGTTGCTCAGAGTGCATGGCGTAAACGTAGGGCCTGAAACAAGATACAAGACACACTGGAGATGTGTGTTGTGGTAGTTGCAGTGATAGGAACAATCACTAATAATAATTTATCTTTATAGCACTTTCATAGAACGGTTTGTTTCAATCTTTTTGTCTTGTGACCCCCTACAAAAAAAACCCAGTATTTCCCCTTTATAGTTCTCACATTGTTTTTTTTTTATGTATCAGAACTTAGTTTTTCTCCTTTGCTCGCCCATTATTCATCTCACGACCCCCTTAGATTTATCTTGTGGCCATTTGGAGGGGGGGATCACGGGACTAAACTAGGAACTCCCTAATATGTTAAAACTAGCTCCACCTTAACCTGATACAACAATAAAATTTAATTTACACTTTGATGTCTCAGTATTACCATCTGCTAAAATTTCTAAATCTAGTACAAGCAATTGTAGAAGTGACAACAGTACTAGCAGCCATGACAGAGGTAGTAGTTACCTACTACCTACAATTAATTGTAGTCATGTTAGTAGTAGTAGTAGTAGAGTAGCAATTGTAGTTGTATTAGTAATAGTAGCAGTATTAATAGCACCACCTTGTGTTTCTCGTGGAGTATCAAAACATTCACAGAGCTATGGGCTTTTCTGACAAGATGCAGTAAACGGTTATTCAACAACTTTTTAAAATTGTAGGCCTAATACACCATATGGAATATGTTATCATCAAGTACATTTACCAGTTTAATATTTCCATACTTTATAACATGGTTGTATTTTTTCAACAATTGTACAAAACAAGCAAGGAGATCTAACTTCTGGCTGCCATTTTTGTCTGGATTAGGAAACAAAGTCACTACTTGGGACCATTTTTTTTTTTTTCAGAGGGAGGAGGAGTTTTGGCAGCCACACAAACACTTCAAATAATAATTAAAATTTGGTTTCAAGATTTTAAATTCAATTGCAAAAGAACTTTTGGCTGAGGAAGCTGTCAAATGCAAGCCTACTGGGAATAGATGCACTAAATATGTAGTTGGAATACTCCAAACAATGAACAGCATACTGTGAAACTAATATTTTCATTTAACAAAAACAAGAAGATGAAAGAAAAATGTGAAGCAGACAAAAAAGGAAAATGGAAAAATGGATTTACCTCTCCCCTTCAGGGAGGTGGAGCCACTGCAGCATGGTCAGTATCCGCCTCTCCAATGGGATAGCACTGAATCAGAAACACACACACAATGAAGGGCAACAATGGCTACCTTTTTTTTTTTCCTCCTTCAGCCACTACAAAGGTAGCAATTACTCTTCCTAGGGTTGCTGGTCACATGTAAACACTACATTAAAACAAACAAACAAAAAAAAACAATAAATCAGCGACAACAAAACTATTAATGGTGACAATTTGAATAAAACCATAACTGCAACATTTCCATAAAATTATAAACGCAACACTTTTGTTTTTGCCCCCATTCATCATGAGCTGAACTCAAAGATCTAAGACTTTCTCTATGGACACAAAAGGCCTATTTCTCTCAAATATTGTTCACAGATCTGTCAAAATCTGTGTTAGTGAGCAGTTCTCCTTTGCCGAGATAATCCATCCACCTCACAGGTGTGGCATATCAAGATGCTGATCAGACAGCATGGGTATTGCACAGGTGTGCCTTAGGCTGGCCACAATAAAAGACCACTCAGAAATGTGCAGTTCCATCACACAGCACAATGCCACAGATGTCGCAAGTTTTGAGGGAGTGTGCAATTGGCATGCTGACTGCAGGAATGTCCACCAGAGCTGTTGCCTATGAATTGAATGTTCATTTCTCTACCATAAGCCGTCTCCAAAGAGAATTGTGCCAAATTTCAGAGAATTTGGCGGTACATCCAACCGGACTCACAACCGCAGACCATGTGTAACTACACCAGCCCAGGACCTCCACATCCAGCATCTTCACCTCCAAGATCGTCTGAGACCAGCCACCTGGACAGCTGTTGCAACAGTTGGTTTGTATAACCAAAGAATTTCTGCACAAACTGTCAGGAACCGTCTCAGGGAAGCTCATCTGCATGCTCGTCGTCCTCATCGGGGTCTCAACCTGACTGCAACTTCGCACAGCCATTGAAGAGGAGTGAACCAACGCTCCACAGGCCACAATCAACAACCTGATCAACTCTATGCAAATGAGGTGTCTTGCACTGCGTGAGGCAAATGGTGGTCACACCAGATACTGAGTGGTTTCCGGATCCCCCCAATACAGTGAAACTACACATTTTCGAGAGGCCTTTTATTGTGGCCACCTGTGCAAGAGAAATAGGCCTTTTATGTACATAGAGAAAGTTTTAGATCTTTGAGTTTAGCTCATGATAAATGGGGGCAAAAACAAAAGTGTTGCGTTTATAAATTTGTTCAGTATATGTGAAGATTCTATTGGATATTGGCTCTGCTTACCTACATTAACCTAATGTCAGATTGTGTGTCATTCAAGCCACATGCACTTTTTTCTAATTTCTAATAGAGCCAGTCAGTCCGTCAGTAATGAAACAAAATAAAGATAACACAACCTTGGCTTGCCTCACAAATGGATCACACTGCATCATTATCAAGGCAGCTGTGTCAGCCAGCCAACCAAGTAGGCAGAGGAGAGACAGAGTGTGACCTAGAGTCCCTGGCTGTCACTATTGGCTTTCTTTAGCTTAGTAATTGACCCTAACATAACCTGTGTCATAGTACCACACAGACACAGAGTTACAGTAACAGATTCTGGCACCCTGCTGCCTTCTTGAAGCATTAACGCATTAAACTCCAAACTGTTCTTTTAACTCTCAGAACCTCATGAAGTTGAGGATTATATAGCTTATAGTGAACAAAATGAAAGGCCTCTCACTTTTTAAAGTGTCTGAAAGTCAAAGGCTGTCTGTATGCTGCCTGTGTAGTGATGAGGCCACCAACCAAGCTGCTGGCTGTCAGTCCACAGCTGTCAACCATCAAGCCCAGGACCGAGGCCCTGAATGGGGCTTAATGTATGAGGCTGCGGGGGGCAGCATGAAGGAACAAGGAGGTTTGGTTGCACTGTGTTAACAATTGACAGCAGGTTTCTCTCCATGTTTTCTCCTCCTCTGTAGTTTTGTCTATGTTCACACTTTCAACTAAATTTTCTTTCCTCCCGCTGTCTGTTTTATATACTCTCCTTTCTTTCTTCTTTTCTCGTCTTTCCCTTGTTCTCTGCTTGTGGTTGGAGGTGTGAGGGGGAGACCTCCCAGAAAGCTCAACCCAACACAGACCTTCAACCAGTCAGCCAGTCATTTAGCAACAACCCCTGGTCCCTATTACCATGCCAATCCCAAAGTGGTCCTACAACACTAAACTGTGTCATGTGTTGTATAAAAAGACTTTCTCAGCCACACATAAATGTCAGCACAGACTTTTGCCCTGTCATGTGCACACTCCTGTCTAGCTCTCCTCATCTTCACTTTCTTTCTCACACACCTCTGTCAGTGCCAAGTGCAAAAAAAGCACAGTTAACCACACTCAAGGCCCCCGTGGTTCAATAGAGTGGGACGTCTGTGACCCCGGTTCACAGAGGAATCCTGCCTAGTATAAACAGGCCCATTTGCACAAATTGCTGTAAAAACAGCCCAACGCCATCCCTCTGCTGAGAACTGCCTCCCACTCCATCAAAGGCTTCTCAGTGCTGATAAATATGGGCTCCTTTCTGTTCGACAGGCTATAGGTTTAGTGCAGCGACACGAACGGGCATGTTCTGATGACTTCCACCACCAAATAATTGACAGAATAATCAGTTATAGAACAATGCATCCGCAGTGGTCTTTAAGGCACATTAACATGTTAACATGTTTAATGAAGCTCTGGAGAGTTTACCGTTTTTGTTTGTTTGGGCAGATGACAACAATGTGATGTGGGCTCAGGTGGCACTTCCTCAAGTCTCTGTAATGTGACCAGGTTCCAAGTAATCTGCAGTGCAGCTTTTTTTTGGTGAGGACATAGTCCAAACCACCAACAGCCGAATAACACAAGCTTTCAGAGGTATGAGGACATTGATTACTGATTTCTTTTTGTAAATGAGTCATGGTTTTAAAGCTTCCAATATCCATACAGGTCCCAGTGCTAATTTTTGGTAATTTGTTAAAATGTTCTTAACTGGTACCAGAGTAGATACATTATAACAAAAAGTGCATTTAGCTTATAAAACAAGCTACATCTGACTCCCTGTGAGTTTTATTTACAATCTTTGATTGACTAATCGTGCTAACATGAGCAAATACAAAAATACCAAAGGCAACTATTCCAGAACAGCTCAACCAAAGAAAACTACGTTTGGAAGTACTGTACTATAACTGCATACCTCATTTAATTGTGCCATTCTTCATTTTATATGTGTGACGGACCACCGTCATTACGGTTGAGTATGCGCTGTGACTGCCATACCAACGAGCGTGGCTCTTTGCAGAGATGGGGACTCAAGTTTGAGACTCAGACTGAAGTCGCACACACAGTGACTTCTGACTCGAACTTGAGACTCGTCCTCAAAAGACTTCAGACTCGACTCAGACTCGAGGGACTCGTGAACAATTTTTATTTTTAGGAAACGTCTGATGAGCGTGCTGTTATTATTCCCCTCCCTCTGTTACCTATAACCTGCCTATGTAACACGTAGTATCAGCTGCACGTGAGAGAGGACAACAAACACTGGCAGCTGCTGCGCCATTCATCATAAACTTTGGCTTTAAAACTTCATAAAAACATGGCCCAAACAAAGAAGCACTGAATGCAGAATAGGTTAGTAACCTGAGGGTAGTAAACATCTAACCATCTAACGTTAGCTTGTTTCTTGCTTTAGCTATGACCCACGAGAGGTTTACTCCGACTGTCATTCGTTATGAAAAGATGAATGAGCGTTTGTTTACTTGCCAAACTTGTGGCAGTCGATTAATGTAATCAGTTACGTCCCGCTGGCTGCCAGATGAGAGACTTGAGACTTCACTTGGACTCTAGCTCAGAGACTTGTGAGCATCTTTCGCATTGCGGTCAAGTTGCAAATAAAAAAAAGTTGGAAATAGTGATTTTTCACCTTTGTTGCTGTTTAATCAGGCTATGGGGAACATTTATGCAAGTCTGAAATATCCAAGGAAGGTTAAACTCAAGGGCAACTGGACTTGGTTGAAGATACCAGGTGGACTATGACCTGGGTGACTGAGAACCTTCACATATATATAAGTGTGTTATATTGTGGTTTATCAAAATGAGAGTTTAGGGTGTCCATCATACTTGTACATATCTCTGCTGTTTAATGAACAAAGTATTCTCTGGGTTCTGCCCTGAACTTCTGCCGCCTATTTGAAATTTTCAATAGAAATAAATTGGACATCGTCATATATCATATGTTATTGTCAAATATTCATTTGTATGCAGCCAAAGCGTTAATAAGGGACAAAGACTTACACAGGCCAGAAGAAGGTGGCAGCCTTCACTCCCTGTTTCAGCGCTGTGATCCAGATCTAGGAGACAAACACAGCAGTCTCATTATTTTATCAGTCTGACATAGTTTAGTAGGATACTACTGGAGCGTTACCATGGATACAAACAATAACATGAGTGTGAGAAAATCAAGGTCATGTTGCTTCAGTCTTGTAAGAACTAAAGGTGATCCCAACCCAGCTTTCATTAATCACATATCGACATCTGTTGTTAATCAATGGATAATAATGCCTGTCAGACTTGGTTTGTTAGATCTGAGTGCTGCAATTCCCACTGCAGTTGACTTCAAAAGAAAAGTCTTTCCTGCTTGCGTTGGCCTCTGATCTCTGACCTGCCTTTGAACTTACATTCAAAGCCATACACTGAAGTTATCCATCGTCAGAGCAAATAGAAAAACAGAAGAACATTCTTGTCTGCGCATACAGTCATAGTGGTGATGAACTACAGACGGTCAAAAGAAAGACTACAACAGAGAGAGGAGAAGAGAAGCGACCGTACTTACTGGCTGTCCTCCCCACCAGCGATGACTGAGTTTCTCTCTGCTTCTCAGGGTGAAGGTGGCATCAAACACCGGGTCATACATGGAGTTGCCAATGATTCCATGAGACTCTGGGTAGAGACCCTGAGAGAGATTCAAACTGCGATTATGCCTCGGAGAATAATATTTGTCATTTAATATCTGTGCTTGATTGGTCTTCTTTTCTCTGTATTCCTTAGAAAAATATTTATATTGAATAAAGCTGATGATACACGCAGCAACTTTTAGAGCAATGTTGCCGTCAATGGTAATGATAAAAGATAACTACCGTAATCCCCTTCCCCCGCCAATCCGCCACCCGCCCCGCACTGCCGCGATCCGTTCAAGACATGCCCAGCAACATTGCTCAAAAAGTTGCCCCGTGTATCATCAGCTTAAGAGTGTGTGCTTTACATGCATACTGTGATTGCCCAGCTTCAGTGCTACAGTAATGGTAGCTTTTAATAGGACATTTCTAGTGGCAGACTTTGCATTAAAATTTACTCAAATACTCTTTGATTGTTGTAATTGTACCTTACTTGTCTATTCATTTTATTATGTCAGTGCTGGACTATGGCGATGTATGGCATCCTTTCAAAACTTGAAACTGTTGGATACTGTTTACCACTGAGGTTCTTTTTAAATGACATGGAGGCTGTACACACTGGCTGTAGATGTTATGAATGATTACTCGGACGATCCTTGTTGTTTATCACTTGTGGTAAATATATATGATATTTTATGTAACTCACTACTTATTCCCATCATAAATTGTTATATGTTTTAATCACTGCAACTTTGTTGATTGTGCTGCTGCCTGTCTTGGCCAGGACGCTCTTGGAAAAAAGATTTTTAATCTCAGTGAGTTTTCTTTCTGGTTAAATAAAGGTAAAATAAAATAAAAAATTATTCTTATTAACATTTTTACATTTTGGATTGGAAATGTACTTTCTGCCTCACTGCATTTAATTGACAGCTATAGCTATTTAATGTAAATATTAGCATGTTGTGCTTGCTGATGTATGTAACTTACCAGAATATTTAATTTCAAGGGAACCCTAATGGATTTTAGGCAAATACTACGTTCACTTCATATTGTAAAGACCCTAACTATGAGCAGCGAGGTGACAAAAACTGGTCAGACTCCTTGCTGTAGTTTCAGGTTAAAGTATATTAAAGTAACACTGAAATGCCAACATTACAGCAAAACACCTGTTAATATTAGCCCACTCACATAAGCGTGCTAACCTATTCAGTTACAGCTATACTTGCTATATTTGAGCTAATGTTAGCAGACATTCCTGACGACAACTGACAAGCTGATTGTTGTTGTCAACATCAGTGCTCCTTACCGTAGCCAGTGAGTAGAGGTTGGGGAAAGTTTTGGAAGGGTAAACAGGCCTCATGTATGGAGCATGGGTTCCACATGTTCCTGAAAAGGAAAGCAGGGCAAAGGAAACTCCTCAATTTGCACAGAGACGTCCACAAAGTATCAAATCAGTTGTCTGGTGATGCTCCATAAACAGTCTCCCACTTTGCAGAGGAAAGGACGCAGAGATCGTACAGCTAAACCAAATCTTCCAGGTCTTACTCAGTTTCTCGATGTTGGGTATGACAGTGTTTCCTCTCTTCACGTAAGAAGCTCTAAATCCATCAACTGACAGCATGATGAGCGGAGGGCGAACAAACCTGCGCACACCCACACAAGAGAGGAAAATGCTGTTTTATGAACTCAAACTTGATCAGTCTAGTATACTCCTCGTGTGGCACGTAACAAAGCTTAAAAAGAGAAAACAAATTGGGCGTTGCTGAAATTTAAGGCTTTTGATTAAAATCACTTGATAGATTGATCACTTTATTCTATTTCACTGCTTGGATGTAAACGTACCCAGCAGGACATTCAGCCGTCTTGATCTCCTCACAATCATCTTGAAGCCATGAAGAGTCTCCTGAAGGACATGAGGGAGGGAGAGAGAGAGATTCAATGTATAAACAAGATAAACTAGTGAATGGCTGGTTTGGAACAGCGAGAACAACCAAGTCCTGGTTTCCAAATGAATAGCTAGTACTGTATTTTTGGATTATAGAAAGAAAACAAAGATCGGAGTGGGTGAGAAGCTGACTGTGTTGGCTGTCAGCTGAGCCAGCAGGAGCACACAAGAGATAATCAAGTGCTTTTTACATTTACTATTTTACAAATAATCAAATGTTTAGTGGCCGACTAGAGGCTGTTGTTAGATTTGGACATTGTATGGATTTATTTTAAATACAAGGAGGCATCACAAACGCACACTGAAATGATCTTTCCTGTAATCCATCTTATCTTTTGCCTGTCTGTGTTTTTTGTAATGCACACGCATATTTGTAGGAAGCCGTTTAGAGACCTTGTCTGTCTGCGTATAAATAGCAGATGAATCGTCGATCTCCAGGAGAAGCAGGTGAAACCAGATTTCTCTAATCCCCCACCTGATTCCAGAGACCAGGTTTCGTGATTACATGAACATCATCTTTCCAGAGATTAATTTAGTTACTTAAATGCATGTAAACTCACGGATTGTAAAGAAACATGGGTTGTTAACTGCAGCTTACAAGCCAAGGACAGCGTTTAGTTCAAATTTACTAGCTTATTTGTGTTCGCTATCGAGCAATCTTTAGTTAGTGGAGCACTTTTTCTTGATGGACTTTTGTTTCCAAGCGTGCTCGACTCTGCGAGGAGCAGAATAAGACACACGGGAATGTCCAGAAAATCTACTGATTACAAGCATCTCCAATGCATATCACGGCATACAGGACATTTCAAGTTGCAAACCTTTACACAGTGTCTTGTAGTTGGTACAACAGTCTCCTCTGGCCAGACAGTCATCAGAGCAGTGGCATGCGTGTTGTTCATTTCGAGTCTCCCCACAACGATCTTTACTGCACTCATAACCTCCTTCTGTATACGGGAAAAAGATGTTCGCATAAGAACCAGCAGTGGAAAAAACTGTAGACGTCAACGCCTTTATATATACACAATTAATCTGAAAAATTAGTGCTGAAACCACAAGAGCTGAGGAATGAAAGCTGATCTATTAGTGGAACAATGTTTTGGCTGCATACTTTAAGCTGAGCACTCAGCAGTTTGGGACAAACACTGACACCATTGCACATAGTCTGGTCAAATTCTCAGGATGAGAACACCTCATGAGAGTTGTAGCGTAGTGTAGGATTTGACACTGTCAGGGTCAAGACCTGAGTATAACCATAAAAACAAGTATATCATCATTTTCAGACGCAGGGAGGGTTACAGTGGCGAGGCAGTGGTAAGCCAAATACCACCAGGCTGAAGGAGAGAACATAAAATCAGACCACCGACACTGGAAGAAGCAGGGGGGAAATGTTGACAGACCAACAGAGAGACAGCAATACATGAACAGGGTGAAATAGCAACAAACAAGTCCAGCGAGCATTACAAGTAAAAAAAAAAAAGGTTCAGGCCCACATCAAGGGCCTGCAGAACGAGTCCATGGCTCATTTCCAGCTCATACAAGTAAATTGTACAGCTGGATAATCAGGCTATAAAATTATACCCAGACAGTTGATAAGTTGATTACAAGGCTTAGAAAAAATGTTTTTCAAATGAGAATCAAGCTCACATGTTTAATAAATGTCTGTAGGTTTGAACTGACTGGAACAAACATTTCTTCACTGAACACTATTAAGCACTGTGAGTGATTTTCTAGACAAAACAGAGCAGAAATACAAATTAAGATCCAAATGAATCAGTCTCGCTGAATGACAACATGCTACAAAGTACCAACACAGACACATGTCTTTGGTGTGAGAGACCCGGGTTCGAATCCACTGCGACACACCAATGTGTCCCTGAGCCAGAAACTAGAAAACGGAACATATCCATGAAGTGTTTATCTGCCTCCTCTTCAGCATTTACAGATTTGTTTTAATGGTCATTTATGTTTTACTTGTAACTTATATGTAGACAACAAATTTCTGAAAATGGAGAATAATATTGTAAACAAAGAGCATCCTATCCTTTCTCTGTCTCACACACACAAACACAGCAGAGTCACAGCAACACGTGAGAGTCGCATTACGCCGCTGATTTTCTCTGGACCACCTGATGGATATTAAATGCTGAAAGTCAAAGGATTTCCTCCAGCTTAATGACAAAAAAATTGAGACAGTTTTATTTGGCCTCAGTCCCTTTCCTCTGATATCACACACGCTGCCAAGAATCTGGGAGTCATTGTTGCTTTTCAAATCCCAGCAAAATGTCCATTCTTATTTTTCTTTAAACTGTGCAAATGAGTTTTAAATCAGTATACTTTTTCATTGGCTCAAAATAACAGAACTCATAGTAACACCAATGCAATGTTTGTTTCATCAGCTAAAAAGACTGAGGCCATAAAAACGCTACACAAAAAGGAAAAAACAAGTCAGATGACCAGCAGCAGGGAGGTTGACTGAGTACCTGTCCTAAGGCAGAGCTGATCGAAGTCCGAGCAGCAGCCGTTGTAGGTCTTACACAGGTTGTCACAGCGACAGTTCGGTGGCTCCAACTCAACCAGCTCAAAACACCTGTTCCTGCAGGAGCCGGAGGTCGGCGCGTACTGAGACGCGGGGCGAGCTGGGGACCAAAGAGACAGAGATTCAGACGGTGTGTAGGAAACTCCACTTTTATGTGGGATGAAGCAGCTCTCCACAGCTTTGCACTTCGGTGACCCCAAACACCGCCGAAACACATCTGAAAACTGCACCTGAAGTGATATTTAGCAGTATGCTGTTTTGTGACACAAACACCACAAGATGCAACAGTGGTAAATCTAACTTTGATTTTCACTTCACATCCACTGTGTCCATATCAAACATGAGCTTTCATTTGTAAAAAGTGGAAGTTCATGTTCATCCGTCCCCTCTTCTGTCAGACACTGTGTTGATTAAAGAGCAGAGGAGTAAAACATGAAGACTCTTAAAGACAAAAATGCATTTGCTAAGTTTTTTAGCTGTGTTCCTGCATTACCTATTCTACTGTCTCTCGTCATCTATCCAATATGTTTAAAAATATTTCATGTATTTAAATATTAACATCCCTTGTTTTTCTGTTCTTGTACGATATATTTGATAACTCATTATGAACTCAGCAGTATCTTAGGGCTGAGGCAATAAAACAATAAGAATAATTATTGCGATATAATTTTACTCAATAACAATATAACAAAAGTTCAACACAAGTTTAATTAATTCATTTAACACGTTAAAAAAATAGCAGTTAATCTTTCTAAATAGCACTTAAAATATTTATTTAGTTGAGGAAGAGTAACTGAAAAAGATGTTACTTAATTTTATTCATGCATATTTATTGAAAAAAGATCGTTTTGAATGTTCTACCTCAGATTTGTGAAGTGATCCACTGTTTGGCATCAAGTGTTTCTCACGTTCTGACCATAAATATCAATTTCAAACCACAATTAACCATCTGGTTTCTTCAACTTTCACTCAAGCATTAAACTTAAAATGAGTAAAATGAATGATTTTCTTTAATTTATCGTGATAATTATCGATATAAAATGATGTGAAATTCTTCATCATGATAATATTGTTCACTGCAGTGTATAAAGGAATACCTCTAGTCACTAATTTGTAATTTGAGACAAGCAGCTAATGCCTAATGACCATAATTATCGTACATTATTAAACTCATTGTAGGATGTACGATCAATACTTCTAAATCATAAATCTTAAAGTTTTCCAGCTCAGCTTTTTATGACTCTATTTGCCTATCTGATAGTTTCATTGTATCTTTTGTAAATTATTGGTTAGATGTTTGTGGAAAAATAAAAATTCTCTGTCTAATGTTTCTTTTTAATTTCCCTTCGACATGGATATCTTGATACGTAGGAATGGGATTAGATGGTAATGACGTCACACATTTCCTGTCTGAGGACATGTGGTTGGTTGAAAAATATCTCATAAAATTTAAGGGAGCCGTGATTCCGTGTGCGGCTGCTCCTTGCAAAAACGCATTTGGCTTCGTAAGCATGGTAGCTAGTGGAGAAATATCATGTGTCATACATACATGTTTAGATATCAGCTGGCAAATATGTTCCCTCTCAAAATGTTTACCTGCCCACATATTCTGTTTTACTCGTGTCGATAATGTTATTGTGAATGCTTGACGCACATTGTTATTTCTTTAAATGGCAAACCCTGATTTTGTGGTGCCCAAATACTCCCCTGGTGATGAACTCAACATCTTTCACACGTCGGTCCAAAAGGACATTTTGGCATCTAGCCAGTGGGTGAAATAACAAAATTAGAGAAGCTTCTGTATATTGTACAAAAAACAATGAATGGCTGCACTGTTTGCGTGTCGTTAAAGGAAATTAAAAGTATCAACCTGTACTGACCTGCAGTCATAAGGACCACAAAATTTTTTTTTTGGTTGTATTTCATAATAACTACTAACTGTGACAAGAGGTCTGTAGGCCATGTGCCAAACTCAGCACTTGCTAAACCTTAAAGGCCTCCTCAGTTGTGTGAAGCTGTGGTAATTCTCTCTCACTCTGGGGACTCTCAGGTTCCCTACAACACAATAACACTCTTGTCCACTAAGGACCCAAAGGACAGTGGCCCGGTTTGGATCCTATCCCACCGAGTGAGAACCCCTTGGCTTAACTGAAGACATCCTGGAGAGCTGACAGAGAGAAGGAGTGAACTTATTGCTACATTTCCAACAGCATGCTCCTTGTCCACTAACTCATGAAAAAACAACCTTGCTCAGGGAGAAAACCAAAGGATGCCAACACAAGTTTTTCAGCACGTGTTTGTGTGTTCCTGTGTGGAAATACTGTATGTGCGCGTGTGTGTTTTTGCAAGTACATGTGCATATGTACTCTACTAGGAGGAACCGAGGTGTTGCACTTTAAATGATTTCTGCTGCCCACCTAGCTGGCACAGCAGTGTTGACTAAGAGCTCTGTTGATCACATTTATTCTTGTAAACAGGATTTTTTGTAGAATAATGACTTCTTTTTTTTTGGTGTTAAACTATTGTAAAATCAACTTTCACGCTCACTAGGTCTTTTTCACAGCAGACATTTGACTTGTAGGAAAAGCACAGGTGTTACTAACTACATTAATGACAGCTTCTGTTCAAACAGTGTCTCAGTAGTAAGCTGTGACAGTGAGCCAGCATGCACAACACCAGCACCTTGAATCTGAAGCAGATGAATGAAATTCAGCCATTGTTAATTCAATTTTTTTTTACACCTGTGCTTTGTTGTGACATGTCAGAATGGATTCTGTAAAAACGGCCAATGTTCTGAGCTAAGAAAAGCCCATCCCACTAAAGTCACCCACCTTGTTAAGAACCAGAGTTAGTGCAAGATTTCTTCCTCACCTTGATTTGTGTGCTAATTTTCTTCTGCATTTAGAGCTGCCACTGTAGGCCGATTTATTTTTATAAGGTTTATCTATCTAGTCTAGAGTAAATCCTGTTTTTTTGTTGACCTTTTTTCCCATATTAAATTCGATAAGACTTCCGGTGAGGTTGTATTTTTAAGATTCTTCATTCTACAAATTTCTTAAGCTGAGAGAGCATTAGGGTGAGAGAGATGGTGATCCAGGACTGTGATCAGTACTAGGCCTGTCCATGTTCAGAGATGGAGGAGATGTGAATATACTGTGTTTTTGAAAAATGAGTGAGTAAAGAAATAGCTTTTTTATTTTTATAAATAACATGTAAATGTAATGTTGTTTATCTCGTAAATATTGTATTCTGCAAGAACAATTTTGAAAAATAGGGTTGCAGTCTTGTTTCAATGTGATTTTTGAGTCTCATGAGTAATTAATGGGTTGTAAAGAAACTGTGAACAACTTCCGACACCACTGTGAAGAAGGCAAGATAGCTGAAAACCTTTGGAGAATAAAGCAGTGAAAAAGAGTTGTGCCACGTGCTTTCATGTTCTTGCAAATCCACACTCATGTTTTTGTAATCTTCATTATGCATAAATGTAGCAGAATATAAAGCAACCAAATTCCAGAAAGGATGTCACTATGACAATGTACGGCACAGTTAAGCAAACCTCGACATTCTTTTGCCGACAGTGTTTGAGAATCTGGAGGAGAAAATGAGCTCTTAATATTGACTCAAGGCAGAGCAACACAAACACACTCTCTCTGCTCCAAAAACAACAACAACAAACAAACAAAAAAAAAACTCGGGCTGACCAATCCCAACCTCGCAGCGTCACAGTGATCCGTTGTAACCTTCCACCACCACCACATACTCTGCCTCATTTCGTATGCACTGGCAGACACTTCATATAGAAAATAACCCAGTAAAAAAATTCCTCTGGAGCTGCAGCGTGCAGAGTGCAAAGTTGCTTCTCATCTTATTGCAAGCTGTTAATGTGTAGAGGAGTGATCCTACAGCTGGAGGTGGACATGTGTCACTATGGTTGATTGTGGGGTGACTGATTGCTCTCAAAACTCACAAAAGGTTCAAGATTTACTCTGCTCTAAAAGGAAATCTCCACAGTAGATTTCTGCGTGTGTCTTGGACCTGGAGCGTAGCTTTAGGCATGTCCTACCTACACTTGGCCAAGATACATTAATGCAGGTCCAAAATACACTTCACGTGGCCTGTGCTCAGACACTTTGGCAACTAAAATAAAGTGTGTCACTTTTTCTCAGGTTTGCTTTACTGAACACACTTGTTCACTTGTAGTTGTGTGTCGAACACAGTTCTGAGGAGCTTTCACATAAACTTAATGCACCTTGCCACTGTTCTCATTCATCTGACAGCAGAAAAACTCCACAATACTTGTAGTGTGGTGATATAAGGCTGCAGTTATTATTATTATTGACTGCTGTAATGGGAATTCATAGGGGAATGGGAAACATATTGCATGTAACCCTGGACTCAGGGAGACTCATCTGTGATGTGGCACTGAATCTGTGTAAACGTAACAGTCAAAATATCCCTGTTCTCTGTGTTATCCAGACTTCAGGGACAATGTGTCTCTGTGGGATGATATGATTGACCCGCAATTCCCACCACACTGCTATTTCAGTTAATCTTACACATAAGATGTGTGAAAAAGGTCCATCACAATTTCTCAGGGGCCAGTGTGACATCCTCATATTGCTTGTTTTGACCAACCAGTCGAAAAGCCAAAGATGTTCAATTCAAAAAGCGGCAAAACTTCACATTTGAGAAAGCCACAGCGTGTTTGGCACTTCTGCTTCATAAATGACTTAAAAGATTGATTATCAAAATGATTGTTGACAGTTTCATGTTGCGATGACTGAAAAAATGTTATACAGAAAACTAGAATACAGTTAAATTGCTGTCATGCTGAGACACCACATTTTCTCTACAACTCTAAAGCTGCAACAATTAGGTAACTAATCAATTAAACAGAAAAATAATTGGCAACTATCTACTATCTTTGGTCAAACAAAGCAATATGAAGACATCATCTTTAACTCTGGGAATCCGGGATGGGCTGTCGTCACTATTTGTAGATATTTCACGGACCAAATGATTAACTGATGAATCAAGAAAACAAACTGCAGAATTATAAATATAGAAAATATTCCTTTGTTGCATTTCTGCAGCAAAATTCTGCTTATTTTTCAGACTTCTCTCTAATTTTTGTGCTGGATGGTTACACCTCGTCTCTAGAAATGACTACATTGTTCCAGTCTGTGAAGGGAAAATCACTGTTCAGTATACCTCAGCTCAGGTACGTGCATACTGTGACGAGGAGTAGCAAGCACACGTTTCTTCGTGTTAAAGTGACAAAATGAGAAAATGCATTCCCAGGTAATCTTCTAGCACTTGACACAGTAAAATTTTGTTTTTATTTTACAGACAATCCAGGTTCACAGCTTACTCTTGACACTCTTGTAGGAAACGATTCTCTTGCTGATACTGTCGATAAGGAGGTCAGAGGTCAGGGTCGGTTACAGAATAGTCACTGTGAAGGTGGTGTTGGGGAAGATTCAGTGTCTTTTTCAAGGCCACCTCAGTTGTGTGAATGTTTGCCAGCTCAGAGGTCAAGCAGTTCAAAGATGTTCTCTGTGTTTCCCAGTAACAAGAACTGCGTACTCACAATCTGTCCTGGCTGAAGTCCCGTCCTCTCCAGAGCGTTTGGGCCGGTCGTAGACAAATCCTGAACACACACCAGTACCGCACAGGACTGACAAGATCCAAACAAGCTGAGACAACAACACATCTGATATTAGAAACGCAAACTGCTATAGGTTTATCAAAAGGTCATGAGGTTTATTTTCCATTAGAGCGTCAACACAGGGGGCAGAGAAACAACAGACACTGATTAAACAATATACTTTTTCCATTCCATTTATTAATTTAGCTGGTGCTTTTATCCAAAGCACAATAATTATGAGGCCCTAATTATTCTCATTCAAAGCCTGTCAGGTCTGCCTGGCTATTTCTAGGTAATGTTACAGATATTTTTCTTTTTTAGTTTGTTTTACCTTTGGTGTGATTGTTGCAAAATCCTTTTTTTTAAAAAAGTTTTCTATAATAACGAAACTAAAAGGTCACGTGAGATTGAGTCTTCTTTTGTGCATTGGCTGCTCCAAAAATAAGTTTGTGAAGCATTAAAAACATACATTTGGACACTTGAACAAAACACTAATTCAAAGAGCTGCTCCTTGACTGGGAACTGGTCTAACTCAAGTCCTGCTGATTGCATTTTGTCGATGACTGGTGCGGCGCTTAGTTCAAAGTGAATAGGGACCACCCGCATCCGCATAACAATCACCTTTGATACCTTGACGAATTGCTCGACACTTGGAAATGACACACGAATCTCCGATTGTTCTGCAAATGTTTGGCAGCAGAAAGGGAAGAGGGAAGAGTGGGGTGGTCGGAAAAAAAGCTAAGAACATCAGGGAAATGTCCTTTCAGCCACAGTGAATAACGCACCGAACTACAAAATACACGGTTAAATGCGTAATTACGCACGGATTTACGCACAGCGATATCTATATTCTAAAGTGACCTGCAGCTAAAACTTGTACTTGTACTCTTACCGTACCGGTTTCTGCAGCAACATGTTCCTCTGTCGGGCTGCGCGTAGTCCTGTGCTGTAGGTCGGAGAGGGCGTGATGCTGACTCCCGAAGACGAAGGACCACCGGAGAGGAGGACGGTTGGAGAGAACAGAAGAGAGAAGGGAAGAGAAGGGAACTGAAAGGAGCGGACCGGATTCTTATTGGTGTTTGTTGGAGGAGGGCCCTTACCTTGGCAAGGACTGAGTTGATTGAGAGAACAAGGAATAAAGATGGGAGGAGGAATGATGTATACAGTTCACGTCAGGAGCAGAACACCACCAGCTCTACATAACAGCCAGTTTCCCATTTTTAATATGAAGGGTTGTAACATCCACACTCAATTATCTTTACACCAACCTGGGGAGGCGGCGAGGGGCTCTACACCTAAAATAAAATAAATACTGAAATGTATTTACCCCAGTAAATGTAATGTTCAAAACACATATATACATACATATATTTTACTTTATCTGCCAGGAACACTTTTTTGTAATACTTTATTAACAGCAATATCATTTCACTGCAGCTGGTAGGCCTTGGCTACTATATGAATATGAATTAAGACAATTATTATTATGGTAAATAAAGATAGAACAACAATAAACCAAACATATGAAAGGTTGTTTATTTTTCTTCAGATGAGGGTTTCTTTGCTGCTGTCACTGAGACCTTATGTCCTCAGTTCTGACCCTTAACTGTGTATTCATGAAGGGATTTCTTCAAGGGGTGATAGCAAAGGAGCTATTGAGCCATTATTTCTCCCTTCATGACTTCACATTCACGTCATTGGCGACAGGAAGCAAAATCTGTCACACTTGGTGGGGAACCTTTTGTTTACACATTAACACTAAATCTAAATACATAAGCCTATAGATAAAATATTGTAGAAGACACTTGACGTTGAGGTGAAAGGACTTTTAGTGTTTTCAGGTCAAAATGTGAACTCTTCTGTGTTTCTATTCTTAGGCTTCTACACAATGGGTATAATAAAACCATTTTTATCATCAACTATTGTTTAGATGAGTTTCACATGTGAGCAACCTCTTTGTCTGCATACAAATTCGGTCCTTTCTCTTTTTTTAAGATAAAGTGGGCGGGAATTTTTGTCAGGAAGACAAACTACCCAGACTCCACCTGATGTAATGCTCAGGGCAGTCAGAAGCACTGCAAAGGTATTTCAGATTAACAATGAAACCCTGGTAAGATATCCCAGTAAAGTTAGTCCATCAGAGGTTGCTGAAGATTGATTTGCCCATCACTGCCAGTAGAGTGTTTCAAAAACCATGACATTCAGCTTTCCGTGAGGAGCAGGACAGTCAGCGGGCAGAATCCATCATCACTGCCTCAGACATTTATTTTGGTCTCTCTCCTGTTGAAATCCGCAAACTTACAAACATCTATGCAGTGTAATACAATGTTGTCCCTGTCCACACAAACGAGGCAGAGAAGACGAAAGAAGGGGCAAACTGTTTCTCTGGCTTTCTAAAGAGACACCCATCTAGCTCAATCACGACCCCGGAGGCCACCAGCCTTATACATGCCAATGCCTTCAATAAGCACAGCGCGGACCAGTCCTTCAAGAATTTCAAGGAGGTGATAGCAAGAACACCAGTTTGAGCCACGGTCCATTTGTATCTACAAACCAAACAAAGTGAGAGCCAGAAGAGGCTACAAGCAGGTGGGGTCTCTGACATCTGAGAAGGGAGCCCTGGTCACCCTCTCCTCTGCTGTCTCTGCCACCCCAGGTCATGACCAATTTTCTAAGTCCCGCCCCCACAGGAAGTGCAGGAGGGGCATATCCTAGTAAAGACCATGCCTCCAGCTCCTAGTCAACCACTTTTCCCACCTGTCAACTGATGGGCCGAACTATGGCGAAGAGAATGTGGTTGTAAATTACCCTGTCCTCTATGAACATGTTAAACAGGCAGCAAATGATGTCTTGACTCATGAAAGCTACTGTGGCCTGGCCAAGAGCCTCATATGCTTTTCTAAATAATTTGGGACTCATGTATGATGCACTAGCAGAACTATCGGAACTGTCTCTTCAGCTCTAAAAACAAAGCTGCACAATCATAATGGCACATAAGGCTATTTGTCTAGAGGTAACAGAGGTGTTGTTCAGTTTGCTCCAGGCTTGTGATGCGTTCCGTGACTTTTTCCTCTCCCACTGATCTGCCAGAATACCCGCCTCCTGATTTACAAATGAAGCACTGCAGACACCATCTCCACATTTAAGAGCAGCTTAAGACATTCCTATTTGATAATTCTTATAGCTCTGACTCAAGTGAGTCCTGAACCATCCCTTAGTTATGCTGCTATACGACTAGACTGCCGGGAGATTTCCCATGATGCACTGAGCTCTCCTCTCACCATCTGTATGCATTCTTATCCCATAATACACGTTATAAACTCAACTTCTTCCCTCTCCCATAGACTTGTGCTTTCTCGTACTTCTCTTCTCCCACTTTCTGCAGGTTTTTCTGGCTCCTGAGCTGTGGAGTCTGGATCTGGGGTAGACGGCCGCCTGCTGCTCCCATGTTCCTCCTGCTACATTACCATTATTCCTATCATTATTGGGGGTGGGAATCATCAGAGGCCCCATGATACGATATTATCACGATACTTATGTCACAATATGATATTATTGCAATTTAAAAAATATCGCGATGTATTGCAATTTATTACCTTTTTTCTAACTTCAAATTGTCCCCAAAGGAAAACTCTTTTTCTAGTGGACTGAAAAAGCAACAGATTTTATTATTATTATTATTATTATAGTACCAAAAAGTAAAATTCTCATGAACAATTTATATAATAAAAGATCAACACTTGGTGTCTGTGTATCGCTACAATATTGCCACAGAAAATATTGCGATACTATCGACCCCCCCCCAATCATTATCTGACTTAATATTATTACCACTACCATTCCTTTAAATTGGTTGAAGCAGTTGGCCGCCCACGCTGAGTCTAGGTTCTGCTTTTCCTTGCCTCTGTCGCCAAGTGCTTTCTCATGGTGGGAATTGTTTGTTATCTGTAAATAATACTACAAACAGTACAGTCTAGACCTTCACTATGAAAAGTGCAATTGGATAACTCATGGCAACTGTCAGAAACCCAATCACAATTATCTTTGCAGTTAATGTCAAGGTAACCAATTTAGGTTATTCGGGTTTGCCGCTGTCACGGCTATAGCTATGGCCTCTGCTGTGACGATGGCTTTTGTTGTTGTTATATATGGCGGTGTTGTGGTTAAACTACTGTATTCCTAAACTCCCTGAAGGCCCATGTTCCTGAGTTACTTCTACCGTTTCCTTCAACAATTTTTCATCATGACTTTGTTTGTATCTACTGTAAATTTATGAAACCAATATTATCTCATATTTTTCAATACATTATTATGACCTTTTAATTTTAACACTTAACAGTTTGTAATCCCAACAAGGGGACTCAAAGGTTTCCAGGATAATTCACAAGTATTAAATGGAAATATATGCTGACAGGGACTATTCAAACAATGTCAAGAACCTTTACATGAATATTAAGACTTTGTCTTTTATTGTCTTATTTAAGTATAACAAGATGAATTTAGGACGCTGATTAAATAAGAAAACTGTTTTGAATCACAATCTTGAAACCCATATGGTTATCTAAAAAGGCAGTATTGAATTCTGCATGTTCTTTTCATTGTTTAAAACCACCAAATTAAACCCAAGGAACAGTGCCAGTCCACCCAGCCATAAATGTCTTTGTGGACCTGGATTCAATCAAGTTAAAACATTCATGAATACAAAAGCATCTTTAATCAATGATGACAGTTTGGAAACAAAATGTATTAAAAACACACTAGTATTACTCACGTTTCAATTGTACAGCACAGTGAAATTGCTCCTTTTAATTTCCATCTTTGAGCAAACAGGGAAATGTCATTTGCAGGATGTTAAAGACACCGGAGGCTCGGTCCAGACAGAATGATCAATCCACACCATGATCAATCATGTTTCCCCTCAGAAGCCACTCGCTGGATGTTGGAATTGCGCTATTGGGATGAGGCACACCACAGTGGTGTCTATGTAGGGGGGAAACGTGTGTGAGGTTGGCTAAGACTGTATTTGCCTGTTTGTGGAGAGAGGTGTATGTGGTTGCATGCCTCAGACAGCTTGGAAGCAGTGTTAAATGTCCACAAACTCCTACAGGCTGTGTGTGTGTGTGTGATGTGAAGACACACGGTCGCCACTGGAGGGTTTACCTTAATGACACTGCAATCTCAGTTCAGAATTCAATGTTTCCTTTCTCAAGCCCACGTGCACTGCTGTTTCTGCTGAGGAACTCAGTGCTGCCATTTATCTGAGGATGACAACACTCAACAGCATCCTTTTCTTTCACATGTTGTCCAAATGCGTCTTTGCGTAAGATAATACTACTGAGTAATCAATATTTAGATCAACTAAACATGTTTTGCTTTCCAATTTGTGTCTTCATACTCTCAGTGATGCAAGCCTGCTACTGCAAGATGTGCTGTTTCCAGTTAACCCTGTCTGAAACAACAGCGGCTGGAAAACCAAGCTCCCCTCCAGATGTTTTAGTCAGACAAAGACGGCGAGTGCAGGGACCTGCCGCTGGCCGGGCTGTTGCTGTAGGCGTGGGAGTTGTCCCTCTCTCTGTCCTTCTCCTTGTCCTTGCTTTCGTGTTTGTGCTTATGCTTATGCTTGTGCTTGTGCTTCTTCTTCTTCTTCTTGTGCTCGTGGTGGTGGTGGTGATGGTGGTGGCCATGGTCAGCGCTGTGTTTAGAGGCAAGAGAGGTGTTCTCTTTGGAAAAAGACGGCACTGGCGTGGCGGGCATGGAGAGCATGGACTGTTCGACCGACGGTGGCTCTTTACCTAGAAAGAGGACATATGGGTATTCAGGTTTCTTTTTCGGACCGGTGTAAGACATATTGAACATGTGTGTTTGCTTACCTGGTGTAGAGGGTCTCTCTAAGAGATTGAGATGATGGTGAATGAAGGCCTGACTATCATGAACAGTCTCCATATCGATATCTTCCTCTTCCATTGTGTTGAACTACAACAAACCAGAAGTACACATTAATACCAATAAAGCATCATTATTTCTTATGTCTTTGTAGACAGCACAGACG